TTCTCGCAAGAGGATTTTCCCTCTTCAATCGCGATTAACTTCTGATCGAAATATGATCGGGAGCCGATGCTTCTCGGTCAGAAGTCGCCGTAAGAATGATACGGATTGACAGCCGAAAACGTTGCCGCGGTACTCTTACTGGTCGTTCCGTGGCGCTGTCTGAATTTCGGCGGTCTCTCCTTGTCACATTATTGGCCCACTACTCTCTCACGGTACTGACGTCACTAACACCGTTAGCACACTCGAATCGAAAGGTAATGAGCCGTTACCGATGCCAGAAAAACTAATAATAAACGCGTTTTTCAATCACCGTTCGCTATACAAATCCAATTAGAGATAATCTCTTGGTTATTGTACGTTAACAGGATTAACGGTAATTGCGGCCGAGGCTAATCGCTCGGCATTATGCAATCTTTAAACAAGCTTCAATGCAAAAAATTATTAATTCCGGGAGCGGTATAGGTAAAAAAAAACATTGATTTCAGGATATTTTAAATTTATTGTCTCTCCTAGCGGTGCCAGTGCTCCAATCAGAATGAATTGCCGGCTAATTCATTGGCTTTAATCAAAGCCAACTTGGTCTTTAGCAAGGAATTAGAGTCGCCACTACAGAACAGCAAGAGTGGGATGTCCACTTCGTTGTAACCGCGAAATATTTGCTCCAGGTCACGGGTTTTGTTGTCATAAATCAAACTTAACTACTCATAATAAGTCATCACCTGTATGCCCATGCGCTACAAAACAGTGTTAATACATCTCATGTAGTCAGACACTCTCATAGCATCACATCTAAGCATCAAGAGTCCGCCCAGTTCTCTCAATGTTTCCGGGCTACCATTTACGAGTCTGGTACGTATAGTATTATCGTTTGTTTTTCGTATTCCCGAAAAACTCAGCATTGGTATGATCGTAGGTACTGGCCTTTGCTCAAGTACCATCTCATTGATCATACTCTGCTCTAACGAACGGAACCAACTCAGTAAGCCACCGGCTTTGACAACGTCGGAAACCATCTCTTCGCTCGCACCGCGTATGATCGGATTGTACTTAATTACTCTCGCAGCGAAATATTCATACTCAAAAGGGTCGTATTCTAACCCGCTCGACACCGTCCAATTCCACATGACTTTTATCTCAGGGCTGAGCAGCCTATACAGTCTTCCGTGATTGAATGAGCATGACTCAACATACTTGATAGTTTTGGCTCTGCTTTCGCAGATACGCTCGCGTTGATAAGCAATCTTGTCAATACGCCTGAGACTAGACAGATTGAACTTATATACAGTGGGGGACAAAAGTATTCATACACTTGGAATATAGAAATAAAAGCAACAATATTTTCTATATTATTAATTATATTCAAACATATGTTGCTGTATATCATACATAACACTTATAACAACAAATGAGTAAAAAATAAAGGCAATAACATCATTTAGTAACTTAATATGGATTGAAATTCACACGACGGTCAGAAATCGCTGGGACAAAAGTATTCATACATTTAATTTTTTAAATTAATATTTTGTAGGGTAGCCCTTCTGGCGACTTACTTCTTGTAATCTATTAGGCATTGACAACACTAAATTTTTTACGCAGTCTAGTTCTATATTATACCATTCTTTTTTTAATATTTCTTTCTTTACTTGTTATATCGTGTTTTCGTATATTTTTTTCAAGTTTCGCTCATACGTGCTCGATGGGATTTAAATCAGGCGATTGTGGAGGAGTTATTAACATGTGGGGAGTATTGTATAACAACCACTGACGCACTATATACGCTGTATGTTTCGGGTCGCAGTCTTGCTGAAAGTAAAATGATCTGCCAATACTTAATTTGTCTGCACTTTCTTGTAAATTTTCATTTAAAATGTTTAAATATAAATGTTTATCCATTATCCTATCTATTATCACTAATTTACCGACCCCAGAAGCAGCAATACATCCCCACAACATCACACGTCCACCTTCGTATTTCGTCGTCGGTTGCATATTTTTGGGATCCAATTCCGTATTAGTTCTCCGCCACACTTTTTTGTTACCATCCGACTCAAAAATATTAAATTTTGACTCGTCGGAAAATATTATATTCTTCCAGAAGTCGTCACTAGCGTTTATATATACTTTTGCAAATTCTAATCTCTTTTTTTTATTTACTTTACTAATAAGGGGTTTCCTCCTCGCAACTCTACTCTTGTATCCTGCCCGATGCAGCACTCTTCATACAGTTTTCCGATGTACTTCCTTGTGCGTATATTGCTGAAGGTTTGATGCAATTTCCGATGCATTGGTATTTGGATTTTGATTAATAATTCGAACAATTTTACGCTCTTCTCTAGTACTTAGTTTTCGGGGTCTACCAGTTCTTTCTTCATTCCGTAATGTTCCTTCTTTTTTATATTTATTTATTATACTTTGTATGGTGGATCGACTTCTTTTTAATATTTCTGATATATTTTTATATGATTTCCCTTCTTGGTATAACCGAATAACAAGGTTTCTTTCTTCTAACGTTGTTTCACTACTTTTCCTCCATATTGCAAATATCTGATATTAACGTTTACCCGTCAGGACTAGTACTAACCCAGAACAACGTGAAATCTACTAATGTAATATTAACATTGATCGGGATGTCCTGATTTCATCGTAACTATCGTATTTATCAACATAAATGATAATGTATGAATACTTTTGTCCCAGCGAATTCTGACCGTCGTGTGAATTTCAATCCATATTAAGTTACTAAATGATATTATTGCCTTTATTTTTTTACTCATTTGTTGTTATAAGTGTTATGTATGATATACAGCAACATATGTTTGAATATAATTAATAATATAGAAAATATTGTTGCTTTTATTTCTATATTCCAAGTGGACGAATACTTTTGTCCCCTCACTGTATATGAGCATTGCCGTTCATCACAACGTAGTAATATGTGTTGCCAATTTTCCTCTTTAACGTAACTACTGTAGCCACTCGCACATTATCTTTTCTATATGGGCACTATCTTGCGGTCCAGTAGTATATGCACTGGCCGCTCAACAGTTTTACCTTGGTCGAAATTATTTGTGCGTGGCATACATAGGCAACTTTATTTATCAGAATGACGAAAATTTGTTTATCTTCTGGAATGAACCCTCGCCCTGTGTCTGAATGGGTGTATAGACAATCACCTGGCCTCGAAGAACAGGCCAAGTGTATAGAGTCTCTTGTCGTGTCTAAGTAAATCTTTCGACTGATGTCTTCTTGAAGTGTATGCTTCGCATACAATTGTGTCTGGCAACATTTGATAAACTGGTAATTACCGTAGACATATTTGTTGTAGGCCACCCTCAGTAGTCTTTCCATTCGTTTATCGCTGGTACCCCTTCAAAGCTAGGGAGTGGCACACTCGAATAGAATGGGCCAGTCTCTTCCATTGCGCTAAACTCATGCACAGATTCAGGAGTCATTAATTCTTCATGCAGCGTAGTTTCGTCTACGTCTTCCATTTGCTGCAAACCACAGCTACTACATCTAACGGTACAGACATTGGGTTTAAGCGGAGACAACGGGGCTTCTACTTGAAGCTCATTGCTTCCGGCTAGCCCATGCATGACGTAAAAATGTTCGCTTTGGTTTACTAAGACTGCGCCTCGATAATAGTCAGTGCTTAAAACCTCTTCACCTCGTATGGGTTTAGAGACTTTAGAAACCACAATTTGATCGGCCGACAGGCTGGAGTTATCCTGCGGCTTTGACATAGGGTTCCTATGAGTGGCGACAAATACATCTCCATATACTATGTTCTTGGCCCACTGAGGAGGCTGAACGACGCTGAACGAAGCATACATATATGCACAACGCGCTGTTCTACCACTCCCAGCTAAGGAAACCTCTGCCTAGTTTTATGCTGTTGATACCCGGCTTACTGTGTGTTTCGTAAAACAAGCATTCAGCAGTAATGCCCCAGCTTATAGCCTTATGAATAATTATGGGACTCGAAATTCTGACCTGACGTTCACCCGAGCAATTCGGCTCGCCTCTTTCTTCTATTACCATTAGTTTTCTCATGGCCGTTTTCTTTGTAGGAGATGCTTCGGAGCTATCCTCGCTCGTGACGGATGCCTTGTTCGGTGTCCTTTTACCTTTAGGAGGCATACTGCTATGTTCTATAGATACTAAACTTACAAATATATTAAGCGTAAAATACAAACTATATCCTAATTTCAATAAACAAAAACTCTAAGCTCTAAACTTCCTACCTCTATCAGCCCAACTTTACAGTTGATAAGTCTACTATTCAAACTAATATTATGTATTTTGAAATACTAATACCGTACTCACTAAACCTTAACGACAAAGCGTGTTTGTGTAGGTTCTTGCATAGCACGATATTACTGTTTGGCTATGCCAAGAAAGCTTTCGCTAAAGCGCTCCAGAAAATACTCGCCTAGTGTATGTCAATCGAACAAATCGATGAAGGTCGATTTATAGCATCCGTTTACGGTATGGCATGGCACGGCACGGCACGGCACGCCACGGCTGGCACTCCACGACACGCTACGACTGGCACTCCACGGCATGCCACGGCATGGTACGGCACGGCACGGTTCGGTCAAACATTCTTTCAAGCTGCTAAGATACGAGTATTTATACGTATCGTTGCGGATCCGTTTCGGCACGTTACGTTTCGAACGTGCACATCATCCGTTCAAGCACGTAACGTTTACAGCATCTCTAGTTCGGGCAGACATTATTCCGGGTATTGGAATACGAGTGTTTATATCTTATGTTACGGCACGTTCAGGCACGTTGCGTGTACGGACAGGTAAAGATCAGTATTCTTTAACAGAATGTTTGGATTTGGGCGACCTCGAAGTCAAGGGCCCCATCTCCAACATTTTTAACCAATAGCAACGTAATAGAACTTATATAAACCGCGAACACCCTCGAAAAACACAATTTCTCAGTTAAAAATGAATACGTCAAACACGGGCGCAACGGAATCGCAAAGTATGAGAGACGAGAAATTAATAGAGTTGGTGCGACAACATAGTTTTTTATACAATCAGGAAGAAAGAGGATACAGCGACAGTGAGAAAAAGGAAGCTGCTTGGAGAGACATTGGGAAAATTATAAATTTAACCGGTAAGTGACATATAATTACATATATTTTATTTTTCTTTATGAGGATACATATTTTTACGTAGTTAATTTCGTGTAGTATTAAAAAAATCTGTTGAATAATATATATATATATATATATAATATAATATTGCACGAGATCTCTCACAATATGTAACTGTATGATCGCTCCTGGAACATCGCTGGTACGTCCGATCGCTGTGCGTGCTCGAGCCAGAAGGAAGAATCACGCGGTTAGAGAAAAGTACATGACACAGGTGTCGCGCCATACCGGAGACTGTGGGTTACTTCTTATTTAATGCACGTGGTTCGTTTCCACGAATTATGTGCGTGCGTACGTAGGCCCACCCCTACGACTACGGATATGGATATTCAAAATAACTGAACACGTTGTACGTAACAATAACAATAACTATTAGTACTTTATTAGACGCAAGGCGTACAAGTCTTTGTCGTGAAAACCAGGAGTCTAAATCTTTCTCTTTTTGGGGTGCTTCTTCGCGGAGTTTTCACAAAGCAGTGTCATGAGCGTCCTTGCTTTTTCGGGAGGACGCGCTTTCGCCCTGCTGCGCTGCGCGCGCAGCCTAACGGCGGATTCGCAACTTGTCGGGAAAATGCTCCCATATATTCTCGTGCGGACGAGACCATAAGTCTCTACCCCACAGTACTCCCCCCCGAGTAACAGCGCTCTTTGGTTTCTTTATTTGGTTTGGTTACAGTATTTGGTTTACAATTTACTTACATCTACTTAGATCTACTTATTTATTAAATTGCACGCGTTTCTTATTGATGTACGTCCTTAATTTATTTGGCGTACTCGCGGAAGGCGCGGACTCTACTTGTAACCTTTCGGTTACTGTGGGCGGTTGTACTTCAATATTTTCGGGCGTGAAAAACGCGGGTTTTAACCGCTCTACAGATACATTCTGCGCCACCCCGTTTATCTCTATTTGGTAAACTTGGTCCGATATCTTTTCTAAAACTCTGTGTGGCCCGGTATACGGTCGTTCTAGCGGCTGTTTTACCGCGCCCACGCGTAAAAATACATGTGTACAATCACGTAGTTCTTTAAATCTAAATACACGTTTTCTATTTCTATGTACCACTGGTACTGGCCTTACAGCTCGCATGTACTCTCTGAATTCCCCGAGGAACATCTCCGGGTTTGGGGTGAAATCGCCCTCTAACAAGTAAACCTACCCAACTGATACTCACTGATTTGAATGAAATTTGACGTACTTATTAAACACTGAAAAATATTAAATACGTGTTTTTTTGTTTCGGCTAAATACGCTTTTTAGGGGTAGAAAGTACCCCGCAACCTCTGGAGATGGAAACGTTTGTGGCTAATTATTTCTTAAAGGTTACAGTTTCTGTAAAAAGTACTAGATCCAGAGTTGTACAGTTTAAAGTGATACACTTGATGGCGTCCTTGAAATCGACCTTGAGGTCGATTTTCAAGGTCATTTGAAAATCATTTCGTTTATCAAAGGGAGTATTTTGCTTTTCATCCCGAGAATCGATAGAGCGTAAAATTTTACATTCATTGCCAGAGCGTTGGTGGTTTGTAAATGAAACAAGCTTCTGTAATTCAAAATTGTTTATTGATGCAACCAATTAAGGCAAGAGTAGTAATAATTCGATCAATAAAGAAATTAAAAGTTGATTATTCATTCAAATAAGGTAAGATGTGTGATCGAGATCCAGCCAGTGAAGGCGATTTCATAATTTCTTTTCACATATGTCTATGAATATAAATTCCATGGTAATTGGCATTATTCTTTATATTCATGACAATAATGAGGAATAGCTGTATCTTCTATGGCAAAAAAATGCTCCATACACAGAGAGTTAGTACACCACGCACATTTTATTACTGCAATGTTATTGCAGATTTTGCAGACTGTACCGCAATTCTTTAAACAGAAATCGACAGGCGTTTCACATCTATCTGGTTTTTCTTGAATATATCCACTTTTCCACCAGGCATATTTAATCATGTTTTGGAATCAGGGTGACGAAAATTGAGTGTGGATTAATGATTGAATTTTGAGGATGTTATTCCTCAAATGTAGGTTACTATTATAATTGTATAAGAGAATTAAGTCCGAAAATTGTTTCAGGAATTTTTTCCACGGTCTGAATACGTAGACATCCAATGGTTGAATGAAGCCAGTTGTTCCCGCAGGAATTGTAAGGATTTTTACTTCTTTATTATCCTTGTCTATATTTTCAAATTTCTTTTCTGTTTGTCCTGACCAAGAATCCAAACACAAAATAGACTTCTTGCCAGTATTAGGCAAGAAGACATCTTCAAACCATTTAATAACAATGTCGGATGTCAATTTTCCAGATTTTGTGGCGAAGACGAGGATATTATCTGCTTTGTACATTGACTTTTGTATTATCGGTCCGAAACGGCAGCTTGTTTCTTGTAGAACTATTAATAACGGGGATTTCAGGGTACCATCGGCAGATATTAAAGGTTGTATTGTATAACTGTGAGTCAAGGAGTTCAAAGATTGAGCAAGACACTCCACTTTCAAAGAACCCTTTGAGGCTAATGTACGACCAGCATGTGTTTCCAAATTGAACCCTGACTGATCTGAATTGTAAACGTTTGCTGTCCCTAGCAAGCCTATCGCAAGTTTAACTTGACTCACATAATTGGTAGATTGTTCCAATAATTCTGCTTTATTTAAAATATGCGTTTGTGTCACGAATTTATTTATTTTTCTTGAAACAATTCCATGTTGTATTTTAAAGTTGTATATCCATTTTGATGAAGCCGTGAATAATTGAGAAGGCAAATGAACTACCTCTCTTGCTTTCAAGGCCCATCTCTTTAAATCTAAATCGTGAATGGGTAGGCTTCGATCAGATGCATTGTTAAATTGTTCTAGAACGTATTGAGAGATATATAACAATTTATCTGTTCTTGACCCACCCTCAGCAACTTGTGCTTCCCATCGGTACAATTGTGTTACATTTATAACTTTCTTAAATCGGTTTTTAACTGATTCTATATTCCTTCTTTTCTTTTGTCCAGATCGCCAAAATTCAATTACCCTCTTCTTATAATTAATGTCTACAATTTCTCGAAATTTTGTATCGTCTTGCATAACTTCCGAAACATCTTCTGTATTATCTTCAACTGAAACAGCATCAGGAATCACACTAACATCAGTATAATTCAAAGTATCATAAGTCTCTTTACATACAATATCAAAATTAATAGCGTCTTTGATCAAATCTGCAAGTTGAGAAGCGAATGATCTTTCTTCATCTGTTATTTTAGATTCTATATTGTACATTGGGTCCTCGAAAGTGAGGCATAATAACTTTAAAATATTTTTTGGGTTTAATGACATTATGAAATTTTACAGATTAACAATGCTTCGATAATATAATAATAGAGATCCAAAGTAAATTCGTAGAAAGTAGAGTTTATGATTGTAAGCCTAAATGCAAATAACACAAAAAATAGTCGTGAAAATGATGGAACGAAAACACGCATTTAATAAAACATTGTTGTAGAATCAGACTGGAAATAGACGAACGTCTTTTGTCGTTACAATATCGTCACTCGTCTTTTGTCGTTGCGATATCGTCACTCGTAGTTCTGATTCTACAATAATGGGAAGTGGTGCGAAATTATCCGTGGAGGAGCAGAACCGTGCATGGGAAATGTACGGTCGCGGACAATCAATGAGACAAATTGGAAGAGAACTTAGTAGATCTGATGGAGTGAAAAATGCAAAGTGTTTTTTATGGGGGACCAACTGGGAGACATACTCTACAAGATGCAATGCGTTTCGTTCCGATCGGTCCAGCCGTTTCGCCGTAACCGCCGGACATACGTACATACATACATGCATGCATAAAAAAAATAAAGATAAAAATAAAAATAAAAAAAAATATATACAGGGTGTTCGGCCACCCCTAGGAAAAATTTACATGAGCGACACTAGAGGCCAAAATAAGACGAACATCAAGAATACCAATTAGTTGATGGAGGCTTCGTTAAAAAGTTATTAACAATTAAATTTAAAAATTTCAAATCATTCTGGAAAAATTATTTTCGGTTGCGGGGATCAATTACAATAATTTTTGGTAAATGGACATATCCCCGAAATCTTGCGCATTTTCGAGAAAAAAATTCAGTACGAGCGGAACTTTAAACGTTAATAACTTTTTAACGAAGCCTCCATAAACAAATTGGTATTCTTGATTTTCGTCTTATTTTGGCCTCTACTATCGCTCATTAAAATTTTTACTATAGATGGCCGAACACCCTGTATGGTAACCTCCCCCTTTTCGAAGTCTGTTAAAAAAAAATGAAAATTTCTAATATAGCATGAATGTAACGTTCAATTTACAATTCGAGTGACATTTCATGTTTTCTTATCTTTACTTCTATTCCGAAGTTACTTACAAAACTTTTTTTCTCCTTCATATTTTTTCTATAAATTTGAGCCTATTTACCCATACCGTCTGATTGTTCCTTTTTTGGGAAAATAACGCAACAAATCAATTCTGAAGACAGATTAGAGTCATCGCATAAAATTACTGATTATAAATACAGGATGCGTTCAAGGTCCGGCAACTGCTAAATCCGGTCAGTCCGACTTATTATTTCCAAATTTAATTGACCTTGAAAATCGACTTGAAGGTCAATTTCAAGGACACCATCAAGTGCATAACTCTGAACTATACAACTCTGGATCTAGTACTTGTTTCAGAAACTGTATCCTTTAAGAAATAATTAGCCACAAACGTTTCCATCTCCAGAGGTTGAGGGGTGCCTTCTACCCCTAAAAAGCGTATTTAGCCGAAACAAAAAAACACGTATTTAATATTTTTCGGAGTGTAATAAGTATTTTAAATTTTATTCAAATCGGTGAGTATCAGTTGGGTAGTGTTACTTGTAAGACGAATTCCCCCGGGATGCGCATAGTCGTACCGAACATGAATTCCGCGGGCGACGCGTTGGTATCTAACCG